TCTCTGTCTCTCTCTCTCTCTCTCTCTCTCTCTCTCTCTCTCTCTCTCACACACACACACACACACACACACACACACACACTCAGAGTTTCAAACGTCGGCCGTATACGGGTCCCTTGCGTCCTCCTAAGGGTCCCACGTACGCGGGTTGTTAGATGATGGCCGTCGATCCTTGTAACCGGACGGTCAGAACCAAAGAATCAGTTAGCATGGGCAACCGTCGACGTTGTAGCGATATAGAGAAGATCAGTTAGCATGGCCTCGTTCAAGGACTACACGGCCAAGTCGACAAACGGGCAAAAAAAAAAAAAAAAAGAAACAGAGTGTACGGGTGGTTGGAGTGAGAAAAGTTCCCCAACGTCACCTGTCCGACAAAGAAACGGAACTGAGGGCATAACCTGAGCAGGATGTTCCTGAATGTATCTGACCGCAGTGACGGCCACCACTGGAAGTATGTGACCGGAAATACGTCCAAAGATAAGTCCAAAAAGGCGAAGCGTGCGTGTGCCCTAACTCTTGCATCCCGTGGAGCACGAACGTGCACCAAAAAAAAAAAAAAGTCCCCAAAAGAAAAAGAGTAAAATCCGAGAAAAGGAATATAAATAGCCCGACAAGACGAGTTGAAGTTCCTAAGGGCCTCGCTTCACCACAGTGACTCACAAAATGTGCGAATTGCGAATAGATCTTCCGCTAGAAAATGGCCCGGTACACGGACATAATTCTTGTCTTTTTTTGTGTATGTAGTGAGTGGTGGAGCAAGGCCCAAAGACGGCCCACGTCGGTAGAGAGCCACGTGGATGAGAATAATAATAATATGGATAAGAACAGGGATTTTTGAAAACAGACTTTTTACTCCCCAGCAATAGATCGCAGCTTTGGCTATGTCAAGAAAAAGAAAAAGAAGGAAAAAAAAAGGACTTTATGCTCACGGCAAAACGTGGAATAGCCCCCATTGGATGATGCTGACATAAAAAGAAAATGAAAATTGAGTGCGTAAAGAGATCAACACTAGAGAGAGAGAGCGCGAGAGGAGTATAAATACCTAAGCACGAGAGAGAGAGAGAGAGAGAGAGAGAGAGAGAGAGAGAGAGAGAGAGAGAATATAAATGGCAAAGCAAGAGCATTGCATAAGTTACGGGTCGGGAATGACAGCCACCTCGGCAGAAATTTGCGTGCGTAATGACAAGGATAAGGATTTTTATTTTTATTTTTTTCCGAGGGGATAAGGATATGGATAAGGATGTGGATAAGGATATGGATAAGGATGTGGATGAGGATGTGGATAACGTGGATG